AAAATCTGTAAGCATATCCTAATGAATAGTCCTCATAACAAAGTCACCAAGTTTATAGGTAGAAATGTACTTACCGATGTCGAACTTCTGGCTGCCTACAAAAAGAGATAGAAAAACCACATGAGTTATATCCGGTCTAAACCTAATTGTTGTCAGTGAACTCAAGGAAATTCCAGGGAAGAGGAATGCAGAAGGGACGCATAAGCTTACCCACAAGGGTGAGCACTAGTGCTAGTATGATCCCCCTCATAGTGAAGGTGAATAGGGCTCTGCCAGGCACAGCGAGACTTTTATGGAAGAATGTTCAGGAACACGTGGCTGTTTTCTGCTGAATTCTCAAGTTTTTTATCAGTTTATGTAAACACTTCTCTTTTTGCAATCATAACTTCTCTTCACAGGGAGTAAAGAAAATTAAGTATTACCTTGGCATCTCTGATAAAAAACCTTTTGTCTGATTGAGCAGAAGTTTCAGTGTTTCACAGTAAAACACTTTTACTTTGGCATTTACAATAAATTTAAAATAGATGTGTTACTTGCTTTCCTAGATTGGGTCATGGCTGGCTGCTGGTACATGGTACTACCACAGATGAGATTTGTTTTGCCCAGGTTATGTTGACCTGGCACCTGACCCAGGTTGTTATCTAGCTGATAATAACCCAATTAGCAGTCAGTGTCATCTACACTGACTGTGCTCTCCCTCTGCTCTCAGCTTTGGTTTACAGCCATTTCTGTAGGCCAGCGACTAAGCTAGATAAGCCTTTGCTATTTATGTATTCATACAGGCACCCACGCACATGATTTAACAGGTTACTGAGAAACAATATATGGAATCTATGTATTTATTGAAATCACAGGATCAATGTGTCCTTTTCAGCTCCGGTCATGCTGACCAGGAATATTTTTTAAATGAACCAAGGTTTCATAATCATTCTGTAAATATTTTATCTTCCAAAGTAAATGGCAGCAAAATGTGAACAATTAAAATCTGCAGGGATTCTCAGCAGCAAGGCAAGAGGAATAGAAGTGCAGGTCAGCTAGAACTTTCGCATTCACCACAGAACCAAGTACAAAATGCAGCCAAGTACCTGAATTGATGCAGGTTTGCAGCCAACTTCCTCACTAACGGTGATTTGTATTGATAACACAAGAACGCATTCACAGAATTGTCTGTTCAGTTCACAAAATCACCCTGTGCAGCGTGGGGCTCTGGGCAGCCTGGTCTAGTATTAAATGGGGCGGTTAGCGGCCCTGCCTGGGGCAGGGGGGTTGAAGAGTCATGATCCTTGAGATCCTTACCAACCCAGACAATTCTGTGATTCTGTTTTAGAAGTGTCAGGAGTGTGAAAGCAGCTCATCAGCTACTACCCTCAGAAATGGGAGATAAACAAAGGATTAACTAAGAGAATGAATGAGTTCTCGTCAACCCTACAAAAAAGTTAGTCCTCCAAAGCAAGCTGGGTGGCAGTTGGACCAACAAGAACAAGCGCACTGGTCTTCTGCACTGGAGGATGTCTTTAGAGGTGCAGCTTCTGGCAATACAATAAATTGTGATCTTCAAGTCACACAAAAACACTCAGTTATATTCTAGTTCAAAATCTATGTCATACTCATTCTTTGGTTACTTTATTTCTGTTCCCACAGTAGGACTTACCACAAGAGAGTATATTGTGGCAAAGTGTTTTTATGACAACAACACAGTACAATTTCTATTTCAGTAGTTGCTAGTAAGTGCTCCCATTTCTGAAGGTAGTCCCATAGGTGTTGACTTTTTCAACTGGATTTCATCTGGACTTCAATTCCACTTGGAATTCTCCTACCTCTGTTTTGGGAACTGCTACAGAATTCACCTCAGGGAATGTGTTGTTTCAGGGATTTGCAATCAATCAATTTATGCTCAAGCAGACAAGTGTAATTTGTGCCTCAGTTGATATGCTGTTGATAACAGTGCATGGCGAGCCCTTCTCTGTATTTGTAACTGATTTTATTTTATATAGTTGACCCTTTCTATATAACACAGTTATATGTTACGTGTTGTATTAAGTTGTAAGCCTTGCACAAATAAAAGAAAACCAAAGCTACTAACAAAAACTTGAATAAAGGAATATAAGTACAATGCCAATGTGAAAAGTAAAACATAGCGTACACCATGGACTGATGCTTTAACTAAACTGCAGCTTTGATAGGAACAATGAACACGTGATCAGACATATTGCAACAGATAATAAATAAACTCAAAAAATTTGAATGCTTCTTTCAAGGACCAGTTTTTGGACCCACTACACCTTCCTTTCATTCTTTGTCACCTAATTCTCTCCCAGATTACATTGGTGGGAGTGATGGTAAAGAAGTAAGCATGTCTCCACTCACAAAAGCTTCATGGTAACTCCAAATTAAAAAAAAAAAAAAAAAAGAAATGCACACAAGTAGCAGAATTCAATGCACACAGCATTCTCCTTGTCCTGGAATCCCAGAAATATTTTCCATTCAAAAATAACCTGTTTACATTGGGATTATTTTAAGATTTATTAAGTAGTTTCCTTGGCCCAGTTGAAGTATATATACAATAACCTCTGAGAAGAGCAAGAATATGGTCTGAGTTTTTTTCCATACACGTAGGAATGTATTTGTCCTGCTGCATCTACGTAGAGCAAATCTGCAGCAGCTACTAGAAGCAGTACTTCAAACGTGGAAGGGGGCTATTCTGTAGGGGGAAAAAAATCATAAGCAAAGCTTTCATTACTTAAGTTTTTTTGCTATGCAGTCTGCAAAAGCTATTTTGTATCATTCTCAGAGAAAGAAAATAAATAAAAGGTAAACTAAAGTAAAGGTAAACAAAGGTAAACTAAACCTGAAAAATAATTTCTCCTACCCAATTAAGCTTGAATTTATGGTAGAAACACACTCCCATTATGCAGACTGAAAGAAGCCCAGATAAATATAACATGCTTTGTGTGCTGTTAACAACTTTGTGAAATAAAACAGATAAGAGAAATTGTCTTTTCAATACCACACACAGGTGTACTGTACATGTCATCTTCACTAGCACTCCCTCTTAAATAGGCCACTTGCCCTGTTATCTCAGATAGACACCTCTGTGTACTGACACACCTGTACAGCATTCATGGGAGCACTCTCCCCCCTCTGCTCCTCAACAGTCTCTGATTAAGTAGGCTCCAGAAGTTCTAATGCTTCACCATGGTGGAATCAATGCCACCATAATACCGTCCAGGTTATCTGCAACACTCACACCATTATCAGCAGCAGCAGCACATTTAGAAGTTTCCTCATCACTGCACAGAGTAATCCAGCATTGCCAAAGGAGGCAATTATCTCCTTCACAGAGAAGGAACTGACCCTGTACCCAGGCCCATGAGGCTAGCTCAGGACTCAACTGCATACATATTTCTAGCACAGTTGATTCTTCCATACAAACATTCAATTAAATTTCCACTTCTACGATAAGGGTCACAGAGAGTTTAAAAAAAAAAGTTAGTACAACATAATTAGGTTACTAATCATTCAATAGACACAACAGATTAAATAAGTTAATATATTATTTTGCTCTTCAAAAGTACTATTATCTTAAAAGTGATCATTGAGGAAAAATTGCTTTGTAAAATAGTCCAAGTACGCAGCAAGAACACGTTTAAGTGCCCCCAGAAAACATTAGAGAACAATAACTTCAGGACAGCAGCAGCCCCTAGTGGCATCCTCAACTCACAGTGGCATGTGTCAACTACAGATTTACAAATCTTGAGTAAACTAGTTTCAAAACAAGAATCTTGCAAGTAAATTACTGTTCTCCCACTTCAAATCACAGAAAATCCTGAGTTGGAAGAGATCCACAGGGATTGAGCCCATCTCCTGGCTCCTCACAGGATTACCAAAACTCGAACTATTGTCTGAGAGCACTGTCCAAATACTACTTGAACTCCAGCAGCTGATGTTATGACAAGTACCCTGGGAGCCTGTTCCAGCACCCAACTTACTTTCTCGTGAGGCACTTTCTCCTAATACTCAGCCTGTACCTGCCTTTACACAGCTTCATGCTGTTATCAATATGTATATTAAATTTTTCAGCTTTATGTCTTTGAGTATAATTTTAGATACAGGTTTTTACTCTTTCATGACTAATATTTATGCAAGTTCTGTCCAATATTGTGAGGAAGGCATAAGCTCAGCAGAACTTACGAGTAACGATCACTTATTTAATGAGAGGGAACTGGAGAAATACCTTTTAAAATAGTCTTTTTAAAAATAAATACAATGAGATGATATTTGTACTGTTTTCCCTATTTGGTTGCCTATGCAGAAAAAAATGCTAACCAACAAGATCAGTATATACAGTTCTGCTTCTTTACGGATGCAGAATGGTTCTTGCACAGCAAGTATTCCCTATAGTTTGCACTGACTACTACTTCAAATCAAGCAGTAGCTCAACATGCTGAACTAATAAGCAAAAACTCCAAGACTTCCTACCATAGTTCCTTGGAGTATTCCAGTTTCCCTTTCTTGTTATTCTACTGCTATTTTTTCAAGTATCCCAGTCACTCTATTACATCCAGTTGTGGATTAAGAGCAGAGCAGCAACACAACATCAGTGAAATATTCTAGGTTTCAGAGTTAATTTCCTTCCACTGACCTGAAGAAGTGCAGAAGTTTCTTATGCACATTCCAAAAGCTTAATTTGACTAGGGCCAGAGCCATACTCACACATTAACAAATGCTTGAGCATCCAAAACAGAAGAGACGGACATATAATGGACAAGGAAAAGTACATGCATTGACTCGGAAAGGAGACTTTGAAATATCTCATCTGTACACAGCTATTTTTAGAAGGTTATAAACAAAATAGGTTTCCCTAAGGCTACTCCAAAAATTCTGGAGCCCACTAAGATGAAAAGCAAAACAAAACTAGCATCAAATAGGCAGTGAACCTTGGCCCTACAACCATGATAATTTTAAAAAAATTTGCAGACATAAATCACAGAAGCAGTTTCTTAAAACAGACGTACACATTTATTTTTTACACTTGAAATAATTTTATTCCTGACTGAACCACTGAAAGTCCTAATGCATCTGTAAACAGAGTATCACTATAAAACAATTTAAAATACCACGTAAAATAATATTATGGATGTATGCATTTCATTTCATGGTTTCTCAGCATAATCGTTTGGTCTATTTACAAATATATAAAGATTTCACGCTTTAGGTCATCTGAAATATCAAAGAGGTATTTTCAAGTCACGCAAATTAATAAATATAGAACTTGTTTTGTTAAAAATCTACAGTATACTGTACATTCAAGTTGAGGCAAAAGAAGTTTTAATGTCAGTTATGCTTGAGATGTTTCCCAAGATGAGCGTTTCCAATAATTAAACCATTTCTAAAAGTGCTATCTCTGCCTGTGATGAAAAGAAACATTAGGATCCAATATTTCATTACAGCCAAACTTTCAGACCATAGCTTCATTCACAGAATCACAGCTTCTGTTACTAGAAAAATATCAAAGCTTTAATATACTTTTAAATAAGCATCTTTCAAGAGTTGCAAGAAAAAGAGGCAAGAAATGGTCTAAAAAAAATTAAAAGTCATGTGCACACACATACATACACATCACAGCTCAGCTTACCACATAACCCTTCAGAAGAATGATCAAACTCACAGCATCCTGATATACTTTAGAACAGTAAGTTTATGAACATCTCTAACAAAACAGCAGGCAACCCTAGGAAGTCTAAGGCAGTTGTTCTATGTGCAAGTTTCTACATAGCAGAGTGCCAGCTTCAGAGTCTTCCTGGGTCTGTGTATTACTCGGTTTCTTCCTTGTCACTTTCCTCCCACTGATTTGGCTTGCTGTCCCCAGCAGGTTTTTTTAATGCAGCATTGAAACTGGTAAAAAGATAAAGTTATAGCGTAAATAACTGCACATTCAGTTACAAATTACACGTCATAGAGAAGCACGACACAGTTATGATGCTTAATATGTTCTACACATCCATCACAAGACCTAGATGAGATCATTCTGTAAGTTATCACAATTTTGTCACTGCTCTAAATAGAGTTCAGCACCATGAAAAACAAACAAAAAACCACAAGAAATATCCACAACATCATTTGAGATACCTGTTATGTGAAATATACTGAGAAGTCTGGCAGGATTCAGCTGAAATAGGACCACTCAGCATACAGTGAGGTTTTTTTTGCTGAGACATCGAGTTCACTACCCGATTGTCTTGGTCAGAAGCTGGAAGGCATACATAGTCAGTTAAGCTCACACTACGGTTGAAAACATTTGAAGGATTAGACTTAAGTCGTCTTAAAAAGAAAGGACAAAAACAAACAAACAAAAAAGAGCACAACAAACACTTTCCTCCCAACTTACAGTGTGACTGTAATAATAAATGCAGTCAGAAACACCAGAATTTGGAAAAAGATAATTAAAAATCAAAAGCTTTAGTATGCAGTCTTAAATCTCACAAGTTGCTCAAGATCATTAGAATCAACTCATTCTTCATGGGCAACAAGGCAAGTGATCTGTTCCTAAAAATACAATTTTTTTCTACTATGGAAATGAATTATATCCTAACCATCTTATAGGTAAAAGGAGGAAAAAGCATGTTACAGTAACATAATTTAAACCAAATACTTGCTTCCTATGAAGGCACTTGGAGTTGTCACATTTTCAGACTGCTTGTAATCAGTAGACATACTTAAGAACTGTTGCTTCAACCATGCTCCTCTATCTTCTTCAAATGCTTTTCTCTAGGAAAAGAAATACTGTTTACAGTTATGACCACACGAAAAAGCTTAGTCCATATCAAATTTATGCTATTCCGTATTAAAAAAAAGAAGTTATGGAATATCCACACAACTAAGGTGAGTCAACAGTTAAACAAAGAGTTACAGTCATATAAGCAAGCTTTTGATTCCAACAGGGATTAGCTGAGGAAGTATTTATTTACAAGCCAAACCCCGTGGTTTGTTTCAGAGGTCTGCATAATCTTTTCATTTCACTGCTCTCCACTCCAGTAACAGTCTCCTACCACTGTCTCCTGTGCACATCCCTGCCCCCCCAAGTCTTGCACTACCTCATGGAGATACCTCTAATTTCTAGGCAGTTGCTAATAAGGATTGCTGCTTCAATCTTAGTCCTCAGCTTTCTCATAAACAAATAAAAGTAACATTGAAAATAGCACTGATCACTTCCATAAAAAAAACTGAGCAGAAAGGTGATGTTTCCTTTTCCAATCACTGATGAAGGCTTGCAGCATTGCTTCAACTTTCTCATTACTCCTTTCAAATTTAAGTATTTTGCCAATCAGAAGCACAGGTAACTACATCTATGTTGTAATATGGTCTTACATATTTCAGGACAAACATTTATTATCCGTCAAAAATTACAAAGCTAAATTCAAGATCACATTAAATTCAAGAATTCACTAAAATAAGTAAAAGAAAATGAAAAAGTTGACGAATGTATGATTATATATGTAGTGGTCTGATATTTGTCACTGTGTGAACTACTGTTGTACTAGTGTCTCAAGTAAAACTCAAAATATACTATGTTCTTGACTTTTCACATTCCTCCTTGCTAGATTTGTAGTCTTCATGTTTTCATCTTAACTATTGGCCAGACAATGCTAGATGTGCTAGAGCACATTTAGAGAAATACCCAACCCAATTCCCTCCCTATGTAAGTCTGTTTACTGGCCAGGTTAACTACAGGAACACAAAATGGCCCTACTGAGGCAAAGATATATTTTGGCTTTCTGCAAAACTGCTTTCCATGAAAATCTAGACTCTTTGAGAATTCAATACTGCAGCCAAATCTGACAGTGATTTGCATAAGCCTTGCTGTCTTAGGAAGCTAAACTGAAACAGCCTCTAATCAAGAATTTAATGAATAAGCAGACAGATCTTTCAGAAGTACCCAGATATTTCCAAAGCTGCAAGAAAAATGATTCATCTAGTTGCAGCAAACTCATATTCCAATACACACAAGAAATTTGGTGTTTGTTGTTTTGTTTGTTTCAAGTGCCAGCTGAATGATCTGTAAAACACAGCTTTGATCATTGCAGCAGAGTATGAGAACAAGCTCTCTGTATAGAGATATAAGCAGACAATGTGGATTAGGTAGTTTTTAGTGTGTATTAGAGTTATTATTATACTCTCTTCCATAGGAGTTCCTTTTCTAATACCTTTCCACTTTTCTAATACCTCTAGTCCTAATCTAATAGCAGCTTCTGTAAAACTTCTTCGTTCCTTCTCAAAATTCTTTTTTTGTTCTTGAAATAGTCTCCATTCTTCCTGAAGACGCTCTCTTTCTTCCAGCAAATAGCAGTCCTGAAGTAACAGAGTGGTGTCATCATCACATGGAGACATAAGCTGTTGCTGTAGATACAAATAATAATTTTGGAATGACTATTAAGTTGTTCAGAATTTCCACAGATTCAGTTTCATCAAAAAACAGTTGAAGTTCGATAAGTGAGCAACACAGTTGGTAGGGGCAGAGTTTCAAGCAGCTAGCAAAATACCTCTGGCCTCATCAGCCTTCCTGTCTTTTAACCTCCCCCAGAATTTCTCCTACCAGGATTAAAAATTCATTAAATTACTAATCAACTGAATAGCCCACTTAGACCAACCACCAAGACATCCTATTTAAAAAAAGCACTGTCAATAAAAGGAGAAAAACTCAGAGGTGAGTGATAAGTGATATTAAAAAAATAATAATTCAAAGGTCTTGAAAATAACAAAATTTAAAGCCTCCTACCTGTAAAAGTTGTTGCTGAGTTTTGATCATTTCTTTACACTGCTGAATTTCTAACTCTAGTTTTTCAGTTTCCAGCTCGTGGTCTTCCCTTGAGATTACATCTTTGTCATTCAAAGTTCCTGAATGCACACGTGACACTAAGGGAGGGGGAAAATGGGGAAAAAAGTTACTTAGAAATAATTCCTCACAACACTTAGGACTCAAAGCAATAGCAAAGATTTTTAAGCTGTAATAGTTTCATTCCAAAAAACACATTAACCATGCACTCAAAATTACTATTATCAGAACAAACAATCCAGAATTGGTGCTACACACATAATTAAACACTATTGCTGGTTTTTCTGAGCTGAATGTTACAACGTTGCCTCAAATTTTATATTTCTTTCAGTAAATCACAAGTCTGTGCATTGCACAGAAAAAAAAACAAAAACAACTAACCAAACAAAAAAAACCACCATAACTTGTTCCGGCATTTGTTTAAAAGAAAATCAGGACAAATTAAGATTTCTTTTCACTGATACATCAGTAGCCTATTTGGAGCCCACTATTGAAGGGCCTGTATGTTCATAAGAGTATGGCAGTAACTATATATATCATAGATAAAAAAGGAAAGATTTTTTCCTCATGTTCTATGAAGGAGAAATAGAGCTAACAGTTGGAACACTGTGTGCACATTTTTAACTCAGAAAGGGAATGAATCACAAAGGAATAAGATGTGCGAGATTAAATAAGGTAAAATGTGGTTGTACAAAGATACAACCACCACAGCATTTGTAATATGCCAAGTTTTGATCCCCTGATGACAGTATTTAAACACTAAGAACATGATAGTCTTTATAAATTCAAAAATTAAAAAAAAAAAGTGACTCCAAGAAAACTACAAATACTTGATGCTTACAATTATTTTTCGGTTAGTATTATTCTGAATAAGTGATCTTAAAATCCTTTCTATAAGAATATATCTACACCAGAGACCACCTGCTCTTTTATTTGCAACTACATTCATGACCTTCTCACTCTTATTCCTGACTGCAAACATCCTTGTTGTAGCAGCAGCATTTGCTTACACTGGAAAATAATACTAGGAAAGAATTTTATATATTTTTAGCTGTCTTTTAATGCTGTTTAACAGCTGGAAATGAGGAGATCCCAGCACCATACCATCAGCTAGTTCATTTTAGAATGCCAGCAGAAGCAGTAGAGATATGGCTGTGACAAGCTCAAACTCTAAGAAGGATCTATGTATCACATATCACAATTTGAAAGAAACTGAGTATCTGCAATTACTTGAACAGCTCAGACAAATGGGGAAATACAACCAACATTTACGAAGGACGCTCTGAAAATAATGTTTCCTGTTTAAGTTGGCCTAAGACATCAGAGGCAGAGAATGGCGGTATGGCAATAGAGGTTGAACCTTCCCATCAGCATTCCATTACATTTTGTTGCCACGTAACAGATGGCAGCAGAAAGGCAGTAATAGCATCTGACATGGAAACACATATGAAGCAAAGGTGTGTCACTGAATTCCTCCATGCAGAAAATTAAAAGCTTGCTGAATGTTTACGGAGACCAAACATAGTGGATGTGAGCAAAGCAAGATGGTTTGTGGTGTGTGCTTCAGCAGCAATAACAGCATGTCACCTCCACTAATGCAGATTTTTTTGTTGTTTTTTTTGTAAGCATGACAATAGGCTCTTGTTCATCGCTGGCAAAAGCACATAGCTAATGATGGCGACTACGTTGAAAAAATGCTATTATGTAGTTCAGAATTTACTCTATTAAATAGTGCTATTGTGCTTTTTGTATCTGTTATAGTTCCTGTGGAAATAAATAGGGAGCATTAGTTTTGAAATGACCTGCATATTACAGGGCACGTATGTCCAAAAGAAAAATAAATTTTTTTGGAAGAAAGCTGTTTACTCTGTCAAACTACAGTGTATCTGTTCTCAGGATAAAAGGCTTGCTAAGGTGATTGCTTTCCTAACTTCCCACAATTTAAACTCACAAAGAAAAGGAAAAACGTAAGTCTTTTCGGGGAGTCTACCAGGTCAGTCCTTTCCATTTCAGCCTCAGTTTAGACATACATAACGTAAATCCAAAGAGCATGACACCAAATGGAATTATCAGCAGCATTTTATGTGTATGTGTAAGAGTTAAACACCACCTTGGTTATCCAGCTTTTCAACGTGATTTTTCAACATTCTCCATTGTTTTCTAATGCTGTTGGTAAGCTGCTCTCGCACAGTTTCACAAGACAGTTCCCACATATTCTCTTTATTTAACTCTCCAATGTCCTCCTCCAAGTCTGAAAGTACCTGTAGAAATAGAAACAAAGCCTGCTGCAAGCCATCTTACCTTTAAAAAAATACATATTTAAATACGTATATAGATTTGTTTTACTAAAGTAAAACCCTTATATACTTAAAAGATTTTTCCAGGTCCTTCCATTGCAAGCCTTCCAAGCAATATTTTAATAATCAGATGGCTCCAGCACTGCAAACTACCAAAGACTTAAGCTTAACAGAGGAATACTTACTGGCCCATCTTCAGACCTTTCTTTAGGTTTTTGTTTCTGAGGTGGAAGAAGTGAAATAATCTCTTTCTTCATTTGCTGAAGAACTTTTTTCAGCTCAGCATTTTCCAATAAAAGCTGTTTTTGGCGCTGCTCATAGTCATTTAGCAGAACTTTGTACATTTGTTCTTCATTTCTGGAAGCAGAAATGTGACAGTAACAAGGTGACAACATAACAAATACTTCAATTAATGCTGTTCTAAAACAACTACAATTTCACCTGGCTTCCGTCTTATCAGTCCTCCATGCACCTCTCTTCCCATCAGCTCTACCAACATAATTTAGAACTTCCATAGCTACAAATGAAAAGGAGATTTCAAAGCATGAAATAACGTGCAATTACACACATATTCAGATGACACTTCTTTTACCTTTTGATGTAATTACTGTCAAAAAGACTACATTATACCCAAATATCCCCCTCACTCCTAAGACCAAAACGAGACCATGTTGCCCTGCTTAACGAAGCAAGAGTAAAGTAAACAAGGATAGAAAGAAAATTGTGTCTGGAAAGCCACAGTGGGGATGTTACTCTATCTTATCTATTTTGTACACTTCTTAAGAACACCCTCACTCTCTATTTCAGCTTTTATATAAATTGTGTATACATTATTTTAAATATTACATCAGAATAGTAGTTCAAGCTCAATTCTCATTAGCTCTCAAGGAGACAGGAAATGGACTTAAGATCTGGTTATTTTGACCTCACTGATATTTCAATTAGCATTAACAAATTTGAGTAAAAAACATGCCAAAAGTTTTGTTTACTTAAGCCTGAGGCTTCTTGAGATTACTGTGCAGATACTAAATTACCTTCAGTTGCCAAAATAGGTGTTCCTAATACAGTGTCCTAATGTGGTCTGTTTTACTTGCATGGTTTCAGAAAAGCAAAACCAACTCAGCCACAACATGAATAGTTGTCTTCTGGCTCAGCAAACGAAACCAGCTCATTAAAATATGACATGCTATAGATGGCAAACAGCTGAGGGTTTTGGAGGGTGGCAGGAGGGATAAGAAAATAAGAGTAGGACTTCCTTTCCAATGACATCAGTCAACACATTTCATCTAACAAAAATTTCACAATATATTTAATGTTCCACTGGGTACTTAAGCACTGGGGAAAAGGGATATGAACATACCTAAAATCAAATATAAACATTTTTAACATACAAAATTCACTATTTTTTTTTTTTGCCATAGCACTCTATTTACCTATCTTTTTGTCCTTTTTGTTCATGACCAATTGATGTAAGCGTTCCTTTAATTTATTGTATTCTCTCTCTTTCCTCTTCATATCATGATTGTACTGTGTAGCTCTACTTGAAATTATGTTCTGTAACTTCTGAACCTAAAAACAATCCCACAAGAGAGGTTTATTCAACTAAAGCTCAACATAGACACATTTCTTCAAAAAAAAGAAAAGAAAAAAAAGATGTGAAACATTGCTTACTATTTCTGGATAAAGGAACTAACAACAGAAATCAGGAGAACTCTCCCAGCCTACAGACTCTGACTTAAAGACTTACCTGTTATGTATAATCAAAAGCATAAAAAAAAGCATAAAATTGTACAGGATTCTGTAGTACACTCTAACAGAATCATAACTTGGACCTATCCATTATCAAATGTATTTAATTGGTGTGCAAGATGTCAGTTTGATGCTGAGAGAGAGCATTCACCAGCAAAAAAACAAAAAACATTCAATGTGAACAGCTACCAGACACCTTGCAAAATCATCACTGAAAATCTATGTAATAATTTGCATTGATGTACATAACTCACTTCATCCTTTTCATTTTTAAGTAACTGGTGCAAATTCCTGTTCTTGCTTTGCAGTTGTCTGTCTCTTTCCTGAAGGCCAACTATTTCCCTTTTAGATAACTCCAACTGCTCCTAGAAAAAATGTTGACATGTCAGTACCAATAAAAAAAATAGCTAAGGATAAAAAATATTGGAAAAAAAAAAAAAAAGGCTAAACCACCTCACTTGAGACAAGTCTTCCTGCATATTCGACCACCAACGTTTCACCTTGCATTCTCAACAAGTTCTATTTTCTGGACCAAGAACTATGATTCTCCAGTACAAGAAATACTCCCACTCATAAAAAACAAAGATTTAACTTGGTATTTAATAGATTCTATTTTATATAGTTATTACTTTTTAGTAAATCAGGATTCTGTAAGCATCTATAACTCAGGAATAAGAGGAGATAGCAAGCAACATGTATGGGTTGGGAACAATTTTAGTGGAGTATTTCTCTTAAATAAGCAATGGAATAACATACGTAGATGTAGGCTGTGTCCACAACAAAGCAAATGGGACAATTTACATAAAACAAAGCTTAACCTAAGTTTTTTTTATTTTGCCAATAGCTTCAGAGCAATCTTTATAAAAAGGCTTTGTGGGCAGAAATCCAATGACAAAAAGAAATGCAAAAGACATAAGGAGAAGAGTGACAATGAATACTAGAAAAGTTACCTACACAGTTTTTACTAATTACGGTTATATTCTGAATTCATCATTTAGAGCTGGGCATATTCTTTTGGGCAAAATGAATGAGCTGCATTGAAATATTCAACATTTTTTTTTCCTTTATTAAAGAAATCATTAAAGAAAACTTCTAAGCATGATTAAAGTTGTCTTATGAGTTCATAGCTCATTAAGAAATTTTCAAATGAAAAAAATTCAAAAAACAAAAACATTCATAAAAATACAATTTCAAATTAGTACTAGGGATGTCAAAAACTAAATTTATTCACTGATAAGAAAGTACAGTATCTGTTAAACACAAAGACTGCATTATATATGTATACACACACTAGGTATATATAGGTGAAATCATCTTGTTTTCTACCTTTAATTTAGCATAACAGTTCTGTAAGTGATCCATATCACTACCCAGTTTCAGATGCTGCATTTCTACCTCTTCCTGAGCTCGAAGGTTCTTGTGCTGCAGTACAAGCAATTCATTCATGCAATTTATGATAGATATTAAGTTTAATTCCTTTCCTTTTGACTCCGCATAAATAGAAGGAAAGCCCAATGTTGTCAATTCCTGGTGAAAGACAAATTGGAGAGGGTGGTGGAATAAATAACTGGATACATCTCCGAGATAAACAGTATCAGTTGAAATCCTACATAAGAAGGCAAAAAAAATGTATATTTCTGCAAAGCAACTCCAACTTCTGAGCATTAAGAAAGAAGCCTTCCAAATACAGTGCATCTTCATTACCAAAACTGACTTAAAGACATTTTCAAAAAGCCTCAAAATAAACAAGATGTGGCTTACCCTATTGAGATAGGATATACTCTGTTCAATATTCTCTTCTGTGCAGAAGGCACTGAAAAAGCTGTGCATGCTTTTGGATGAAGGCAGTGGCAAGCGTAGCACTTGAGAGTTCATGTTTGGAGGAGATATCTTTTTCTCTGAGGTATATTGAAATATATTTTTGCTATCTAAAAGTTAAAAACATTAAGAAAAAATTCAGGACTAGTAGTTTACACACATACAAAAAACTTAAATCAAATCCCTTTACTGAAATTATTATTCATAGCTGTTCACAAATCTAGAGCCTAGAACTTCATCTAGCATGAAATAAAACACAATAACCATATCACAACAATAATTTTAAAAGGACAGTTAAAATTTGACTGCATTCCAGCAGCATTTCTATTAAAAAAATTACTGTACTATTAGACCGGTTAATATCACATTAAATAAATCTCATGTTTAAAACCTTAATGCCTCTTTAGCAACTACAATACCCTGGTAGAGTTTGCACATTTACTAAATTTAAAATATTACCAGTTTACCTGATGACAGCACTGGCACAGTTACAGTCTTCCAATCTCCCATAGCAACAAAACAGGCAGGGTACCTGAGCAACCCATTCAGCAGTGAAGTATTTAGTACAATTCCTGACAATCTGTGTTACGTAGGCATCTCCTAAAATAGTAAGAGCATTTTAGATTAACAGCTAGAAGATTAAAGTAAACATGGGAGACAGACTACTAGACCTGAAAATCACGTGACATTTTTTCTTCTTCTTTATATTGTAAAGAACAACATAATCACAGTAAACATTATGCTGTACAAGTGATGCATCTATCTATACTTAGGCTCAGACTTCACTACGTCTTTTAAACCATCAGCTCAGTCTTAAACGCCACCTGCACATGAAAAGAATAAAGACACTGTAGATAATTCAGTTGTTTCTGTTGATGTGTGTCAGAGAAAGCAGGCCAAACATCCAATATTTTTCTGCCGCATAACCACTAAGCAATTTTATCAAGACAAATTTCTGTGAATCTTAACATTAATCTGTCTTAGTAAGATTATTACTTGAAGGGTAAAGAATACTCTGAAAGAGATTTGTCGTCTCAGAGAAGGCAAAAGAACTTCTAATACGTATTTAACTATTTAACTTAACCTATACAATTCATTGTACTGCCTATACACAGCTATATTGCCTTTCCCTGGGAAGCTGCTTCATTCTTTGCAACATCTCCAAAATTGCTGAGGACTGTAGAATAGAAAAAGCCTTATTCCATTGGTACTGCCACTCAGTATAGTACCTTCCCTCTGAAAACCAAAAGAAATTCACACATTCATAAGATGCATGAAGACACGAAGCATCAGAGCTGGTGCACTGCCAGAAATTTAAAATCCAGCTCTGACGTTTAAGATCTAGACAGTCTAACTCCTCAGCTGCTATAGGAACAGCCACCCTACAGGAAAACAAATCCTTCACCTGTTCAAGTAAGAAAACTCCCCTTTTTTAAAATTACAACTATTGTCCAAAATCTCAAGTCAGTTTGAGATGGACACCATAGCTTTTAAAGAGTACAGACAAGTTTGCTACTAACTCCTCCTAATGTTCTATTAAGCACACTCTTGGAAATGCAACTTCTGAAATGCTGACACTAAAACCTTGCTTTTTTTATCACTATGCGGAAAGCTATCACTTGGAAAACCAAACTGCTGTCTATTTAAGCCACTAGACAGTTGTAGGTGATCTGTTACCCACAAGGTCTCTTGTGAACAGAGAAGAAACAACAAGAATCTCCTTATTGACAGTATAAAGTGTGCAGAAAAGCATCCAAATCAATGTTAACTTTTTAAGAGGTCATACTGGTGTACAGCCATGCCACAGAACACTCAGCACTAGAAAATAAAATAAAATATCCCACTGCATATTTCTGCAGGTTCATAAATATTCCTGGATGAAAAAGTACACTATTCCTCAGATGAGAGGAAAACGTGCAGAAAGTACTAAATTACATATCAGAAAGTTCACATAAGACACTGAGAAAACAGTTAAGTGTTGTAACAATCTAGTGGCCATTCTTATTCAAAAATGAGATGTGTCTACTTTCCCTCTGCCCATTCACATTTTTCAGAGTTTTCTTCCTGTAAAACTAAGATGTGCTGAAAAAGAAAATGGATATTCAGATCCTAAAGGAAATGACTGACTTTATGCCTGTCATTTCTGACATCTGTAAGGCAATCTTCTCATTTTTCCCAATGAAGTCAACTGTGTTTTTAAAAATGTAATTCAAAGACAAAATCAAATGAAGACACTTCTTACATGCTTATTTGGCTTCTGTTGGATCCATCAGATAGAGAAACCTGCAAATGAAAGAGTGAGAAAAAGACCAATTAAACTACAAGTATATACAGAATGCAATCCTGCATTCTAATAAAGAATTTGAAACTCAAAACATACAAATTCCATTAACGGCTGTTGGAAAGTCTACAGAAATACCACCAACACTTCAGATATGCACTTCACTTCAAATCTGGCTTCTATTCTTTAAGAAACCACATAACCCCTAAGAGAGCTTACCAGCCAAATTACCTCCAAGCACAATAACACCAACCCACAGGTCTTTACACCAAGAAAACTGTTTTGACACATAATCTATTAACCCACCATTCTCCATATTTTAGTTTTGCAATTTGCATGCTGTGTTACTCGCAGCAAAAAGTTTTCAGGCCTCCTCTTCTGTGAAGCTTTGTTTCTAGGTACACCAACAAGAGGATACAATGAAAACAAACAGAAAGACAGATTCAGAAGGATGTCTAGCAATTAGAGAGAATGCAAACATACAGAGGGAATATGAAAACATCCATCTAGATAATGCAACTATATTCTCCTCAAGTGTAGGATTCTAGAGCTTTCTGACTTGAAAGGGGAGCTAGCAGTACAGTACATACCGTTCAATACATCAAGATTCACAAACATACACACAAATTCACTATCTGGTGAGTGCTAAACTAAAGAACTTCAACTGTTATGCCAACCCAAAAAAGTAGCTTAAATTGTTCCACGGCATCAGAAGAATGCACTAGCTTTGAAGCAGTTATTAGTTAAGAGCACAGTCAGCATTTTGTACTTGCATCATCTTTATATACCGTATTTAGAACCACAGTCAGATGTGCATGAGACAATCCCCATGTCAGCTGCAGAAGGGAATGCCACAAGCTGTTAGTTCCGTGCTAAGATCATCTCATCAGTTCCACATGGCTTCTGCTGCCAGTTCAGGACCTCAGCAATGATTTTTAAAGTTACCTCATGATTAAGAATCATCAGCTACATTTCCCTGCCAATCTAGGCAGTTCCTCTGGAGCAACAAAGCTCAAAATAGACTCACTGAAACATGCAAGAGCTACAGATGAGCATCCCTAATGAAGATAGTGGGGATGCAAAACGAATTTAGATACACCGTATTCATAAGAAACTCCACCTTTAGTACTTTACAGTACTTGTTTTAATCACCACAACATATGGAGGAATGCATTCAATGTATATCTGAAGCAGTATTTGTTTAATTATAGAAAAAAATAAAATAGCACACAAAAGATTTTAAAGTGTTTTTGGGATCTCTCTAGGCTATCCAACTTAACACAGGAAAGCTTTAACTAAAGAAAAGGGCCAAGAGGTTTCCTGCTTCAGTTTTTTGAGGGAGAAGTGGAGAAATTGAGTTGTTTTTCTTGTTTGTTTCCCTCACCGCATCCCCAATCCCCTTAAATCCTGTTGGTAAAACACAGCAAGAAGCTAAAATAATAATAGTAATAAAAAAATCAAAATTTGCTGTTTCCCAGAATCTCATACTGAAACTAAAAATCTATGGGTGGGAGAAAAAAGAACAAGTCTCTCAGCAGCCCAAGCTACTGTAACTACTTAATGATTTTCTTTCTGTGCCCATTCTGCCTATGCAGCTATTTCACTAACAGGGTTGGTGACTCACGCAAATATCTGTAATGACCCAGTGCCTGCCAGACACTACTTTGCCTATTGGCAGTGACACTTTTGTTCCAGTGATGAACAAGACCTTGGATGATCTGGGGGCCAATTTCACACGGGTGAACACAGTGGCAGAGCCATCCCACTGCAACTAAAAAAAAAAAATCTGAAAAGAAAACAAAGAAACAAAGTGTCTCCCTCCTTCCACAAATATACATACAAAAAAAAAAAAAAGTACAGAGCTTGATTAATACCAATAATCAAACAAAAAATCACTAACAGGAAAGTACACAAAAAAATCCTAGAACTTAAAGCTGTCATGATAATATACTACAACTTAATCCTAGTAAATGCACCTGAAGTTTTGCTGATTTTTTTTATTTTTTTTATTTTAAAAAGCCCATAGGTATAGCCCCATGAACTCCTACATGATTCATTAACACGCATCTTTCTTTTCAAGAATAAGTTTACTCTGAACTTTGAAAGCTACACTACAAATAGAGAAGCAAAAGTGGTTCCTAAAAATCATTGTTTTATGCTCTGAGGTGCAGGGGAGGGATTGTCAATGACTGTGACAAGATTCAAGATAAATCAGATAAAGAGAGCCTGAGTTTAGACTGTCAAAATCCAAAGCCCACAAGCAGTAAGCACTAGGATTATAAACTTCACACATCACAGTATACTTCCGAAAATCTGAATATTGTTTTTAAATTTGAAAGCAAGTAGGTGCATCTGAGTTTATAAAATTCTTTCAGGCAACTCTGTATCAGGAGAGAAAAGCTTGTAGTAGCACTGTACCATGATCACATTACACCATCTGGTCATCTCGAAACTGCACTGGGTGTGACAATGACTGGATGGAGATCAGTGACAAGTGATCAGGAATCAGTACCGGGAGCACTGCTCTTTAACATCTTCATCAATGACATCAACAGCGCAATCAAGTGCACCCTCAGCAAGTTTGCAGATGACACCAAGATGCGTGGTGTGGTCTGACATGCCTGAGGGATGGGATGTCATTTAGAGACACTTAGATGTGCTCCAGCAGTGGGCCTTGGTGAACTCTAACAGGTTCAACAAATCCAAGTGCAGGTCTTGCACTTGGACAACTCTCACTATCAGTACAAGCTGGCGGACATAAGGATGGAGAACAGCCCTGCTGAAAAGGACTTGGTGATACTGGTTGGTGGCAGACGGGCATGAGCCATGCACATGCAGCCCAGAAAGCCATCCATATCCTCGGCTGCATCAGAAGAAGCATGGCCACCAGGGCAAGGGAGATTATCCTGCTCCGCTCCAATGTGCTGGTGAGACATCATCTGGAGTACTGCATCCAGATGTGGAGTCCTCAGTACAGGAGAGATGTGTACTTGTTCAGAGCACGAACAGATGAGGACCACAAGAGTGATCCCAGGGGTGAAACATGAGGACAGGCTGAGAGCTGAGGCTGTTCAGCCTGGAGAATAGAAGGGTTCCAGGGAGACCTGAGAGTGACCTTTCAGTATCTAGAGGGGAGGCTGTAAGAAAGAAGGGAACAGACTCTTCAGCAGGGTCTGTTGCAGTAGGGCAAGGGGAAATGGCTTCAAACTAAAAGAGGGGAGATTTAGGCCGGACATAAGGAAGAAGTTGTTGTTTTTTTTTTTTTAAATAAGGGTGGTGAGGCACTGGCACAGGTTTCCCAGACAGGTGGTGAGTGCGCCATTCCTGCAGACATTCAAGGTCAGGCTGGATGGGGCTCTAAGCACCTGATCAAGCTGTAGGTGCTCTTGTTCACTGCAGGAGAGTTGGACTAGATGATCATTAAAGGTCCCTTCCAACTCAAAAGATTCTATGATACATGAAAAATGCACTATCTGGTAACCCAGAAAGCTTTTTTCCCTAAATTAAGGTGGATAAGTGAAGGCAATCTTTGAAAAGAGCTCTCCTCATCCTCAATGTTACAATGCCATGGAAAAATGTGAGTCAGCATCAACCAAAAAGCATCAACTGAACATTTCTCTTCTATATATTAAGTATTACAAGTTCCAACATATACACAGATTTTGACTTTAAAAAATGAAAGAAAATTAAAGCCTTAGTTAGTATTTACTTAAAAGGCAATATGATTCCTTCTAATTACAGTAACATCCCAAGCTGAGCTGTGAATCTGCTTAAGGCTATTACATTTGTCTAGTAATCCACAGATGCCGAACAGATGGCTTTTATCCAGATAAATCAAAGACGTATCAGTCCATGCAAATTTAGGGTGCATACTAGTCATTACATTATAGGTTTACAAACGTATCCCTGATAATGTCACAAGAAACACACTTGTTTTATTCATACAATCACCTTGAAGGCCCATCCATCTCTTCCCTAGAATTTTGATAAATATTCTCTCTCTACGGCTGTTTTAATAACAAAGTTGACAATTAGCACTAGAAAATCGCTCAGATTTGGTGATAACTGCATATCTGAGAGCTCCTTTACCTGTAGAAGCCTATTACAATTGTAGTGACTTTCGTTAATACTGTAATTTCAGTGACATGTCCTGCAACCAAAGCAGACCCTAGATATTTCCTCCCTGCTCTTACAGTACTGTGGCAATTAAAAAAAAAAAAAAAAGAAAGAAGGGGGAGGGAGGCACAAAAGAGGGCGTCCTTCCACTTACTTAAATTCAAAGAGAACATTTCTTTAACATGTGCCAAATTTCCAGCTAAACTCATCAGTACTGCCAGAAGTGACCTCAACAGGTAACCCCACCACTCAGCCTGTGGGTACTGCTAAGTCTTCTTCACTATGAGCATAGCAACCTAGAAGATCCCTTACCTACATTTTTCAGATCTACTTTACTTAACAAATTGTGAAAAAGTTGTACAAATGATTTTTTCTTTGATATTCAGTAAGTAAAACGACACAAAAACATACCCTTAGAGCTGATAAAATATGATGTTTGATGAACGTTTTCTTACTGCCTTTGTCCCAAACACTCAGGTTACAAAGACTTATCTACCATCTCAACATTCAGCTCTACCTTCAATATACACATAAATGTTATCAGTGCAACCTCTGAAAAAATTGGAACACGTGGAAATATTTCATCTGGCTCCCAAAGTCCTACCCCACACTGAGCTAATACTATGGATCTTTGTATCAGAGTTTTCCTCTTGCTAAAGAATAGATCTATTTCTGTTAATCTTCTGAATTTTATTTCTCTGTTGAAATCAAAAACCATTTGCTACACATAGCAGGATATTCTATTCCAGCTACAAGACCTTTGCATATCATGAATACATAAGAAAGCCTCAGGAACTCTGTCTTCTGTAGTTCCTCCTTTTCCTGAACTCAACTTTAACCAAATTCCGTAACTTCGCTGTCTCTGCGAATGGAAAGCATTTAAAAAGAAAGGGGAGGGAGTGCAAGTCTCACTAGTTCCTAAAGCTGGTAATAATACAGGGCAGAGTCAGATCTCAGCATTCCAGCTCTCAGAAATGATGCAATTCACAAGGTTCAGTAGCATGTAACCTGTACGATAAAATAGGTGGCAGGTAAAATGAATGGAATGTCGTCAACGTAACTACTTTCTCTAATGAATGCCAGAAGATTCAAAGAATGGTTGCCCTGTAGACTACATGAGTCACAGAGCAGATGTTAGCTGCCAGTAAATATGACTGGTGAAACGTCACCGTAACTTAATGTAGAAGAAACATTAGCAAGTCTGCTACAGTGCCCTGAAAGAAGGAATCAGTCAACATGCTTGGGCAAGAAAGCATAACTGGATTTCCAAAAAACTTTCCACAATGTTCCCTACCAAAAGCTCTGAAGCAATGATGCCAGGGGATTTATTAATGACTGATTATTGATGGAAAAGGGGAAATGGTAGGAAAAAGTTGAATATTTTCCCCTTCCTCCTTCTTTAAGTATCGTGTAAGTGTTATATGAAAGCCCCAAAGAAAACTAGAGTCACAAACGGGATCTGTTTGTGGCATCTCTGCTGCTGGGAGAACTTTCAAAGGTGCTGGGTAGGTCAGTGAGAAAGTTTACTCATGGTACTGCATTATTCAGAAAAATAAACACTAAGGTCAAATGATAAGAACCCCAAAAGGTTATGTGCATACTACACCAATGGTAATAAAAATCCACATTTGTGAACTATTATTATTAGGAAAAAAACCCCACAACACCAACTCAGCTATGTACTTAAATCAACAGGCTCTAAGTTAAGCATCATCATGCAAGAGATCACAGTCACTGTGATTACTCCTCTGGAAGTAACAGCTCACAGGCAGTTAACAAAACATTGAAGCCCAGGACAGAAAAGATGAACACCATAATGGCTCCATACAAACACTGAGCTTCCCCAGTTGAAATAGCACACATCATTATGACCTTCCCTATACAAAATGCAGAAAACATCTGAAAATGGTGGAAGAAGGTCAGCCAATGCTTCCATACAAGAAATTAATAAGCAGTGACTTTTCCTCTGGAGCAGCAAGAGAAATAGGAAAAAACATGTACAGAAACATGCAAAGAAAAAAAAAATACCGCTTCGTTTCATGTAA